TCAGGGGTTTCTGTGCCTTCTTTTATAAGTTTGAACTCATCTTCTAGGGGCATTGTCACCAGGATGGTGGGGATTGCCTTAAGTTCAAAGGTTCCTCCTCCAGGTTTGAAGGTAGTGGTGGCCCCTAATTTTCTAAGAAAGTCTCTCCCCAGCAGTGGGTATAGATATTCATGGATGACCAGGAACAAGTGGGTGACTGTGTCCTTTCCCAAGTTTACAGTTCGTTTTGAAGTCCATGGGTAGGAAGCTGATTTTCCCGTGGCTCCCCTAATGGAAGTCTTTAAGGATGTGAGAGGTCCAAGGGGGTCTTCAGCACTGAATGGGCCACACCTGTGTCCACAGGAAATTGAAAATCAGTTCCCCCTACTACAAGAGTGACCAAGGGCTCACTGGGGTTTAGTGGCCATGAGCCCTGGCCCCGTCAGTCTTCTTCATCTACTAACAGGACTCTTTTCCCTCAGCCCTCCTTTTCCTTCTTCCTCCTTGGCTTCTCACAGTCTTTCTTGTAGTGGACTTTTTCCTTACAATAGGCACATTGGTCCTTCTCTAACGGGGGCCGATCTTTCCCTTTATTCCCCATCTTCTTTTCTGGTCTTCCCTTTTGCACAAACCCACCATCTGCCAGGGCTGCTATAGTTGCCTTTTCCAATTTCTTGGCCATCCTTTCTTCCAAGGGGTCCCAATTTCCAAATACTTTCATAGCCACACTCATCAGTTCCTCCCTATTTTTTCCCTCAAATCCTTCTATTTTCTGTAATTTCTTTTTAATATCTGGGGCCGACTGAGTAACAAAGGCCAGATTGACTGCCTGTCTATTTACAGGGGTATCTGGATCAATTGGAGTATATGTACAGTATGCCTCCAATAGGTGCTTCAGAAAGGCAACAGGGGATTCCTCAGGTCCCTGAAGGACCTCACTTACCTTGCTTAAGTTGGTAGGCTTCCAAGCAGCTCCACTCAAGCCAGCCAGGAGATGCTGACGGTAGTTCCAGAGAGCTTCTCTCCTGCCCATTGAGTTGGCCTGCGAGCCAGCCATTTGGACGGGAATGGGGCTTCAATATGGTCTCACTGTTGTAGGTCTAAGGGGCCCTCTATTTCCCCTAGTATCGACCTCACAGCTTGTCCCTGGATTCTCTCTCTTTCTTCAGAGGTGAAAAGGGCCTGCAAGAGTTGCTGGAAGTCATCCCAGGTGGGATCATGGGAGTGGAAAACAGATTCTAGTAGGGAAATCAGGGCCTGGGGCTTTTCTGAGAATGGGGGATTCTGATGCTTCCAGTTACATAAATCAGTAGTAGTAAATGGGATATAAACATATCATCCTTCCTCTGTTTCCCAGAGAGGCAGGTGGGGGGGCTGAACTGGCTTCCCCAGTGGGGCTCTTACTGGGCCCATAAGTGATGCCAGTCCAGGTGTGGGAGGGAGAGGTCATGGAGTCTGGAGATTGGGGCTTCTTGGGGAGAGGAGGATAGAGAGACAGAGAAGCTGAGGGCTGGATAGACTGGGGGAGAAAAGGGTTTTGAGACCCCTGATGAGCTCCTGAAGAAGAAGCTGTCAGACCTGCATAGGGTGGGGGATGATCTAGAGGGTCTAGGGGATCAGGATCCTGTGAGAGGACCGGCTTGGCAGTCCAGGTGGTGGTCTCTCTGGGCCCCTTTGGGGCTGTGACCAAAATGCAGGTGTCTGTTTTTAAGGAACAATGCCAGAGCCAAGCCGGGGGATCCTCACAAGCCTGAACCCAGATATCAATATAAGGGAATTGGTTGGGGTTTCCAGGGCATCCGATGACCTCTTTCCATACAGCCCGGCAGATGCCAGACTCAAAGGTCTCTTGGCCGGCCATCCTACACCAAAGGTTGGCCATTCCAGCTGGCACAATGTGCAGAGTTTCCCAGGAGAGAATTTCACCCCATATTCATCTGCCTTTTCTGGGGAAAAAACCAATTTGAAATTAGTAAGAAAACAGTCGAGTGGAGTGGATTTGGTGGAACAGGATCCTCCCATGGTGTTTCTTCCTGTGGACTGTAAAATCGAACACAAAGCAAAGCACCAAACCAGACAGATGAAACACAATATGGACAGACACTGACACGGAAATGAAACTAAACCTTCCCCAGGTTCCTCATCAGGAGTTTGGGTGTCGGGAGGAGGCTTACCGGCTCGTCAGCCACCTCACTACCAACTATCAAATGGTTGCAACCAAAAAAACCAAGATCTTACCTCTGGAGGTTTTCTGAAGTCTGCCCCTGAGATTTTCCAGGCTGGATCCCAGTGATGTTTGGTGGTCCTGTTGTGGGTATCTCACTGGGGCCTCTAAAATGTAGGACCTAATCCCACCAAATGCTCCAAGGAGCAGACTGTAGTGAGAGCCACCCGAACAAGGATCACACCGACAACATGGATTGAGGTTGAGTGCAAACTTTATTAGTCTGGACATATGGTGCTCTCCAAGCTAGGAGGCTCAGGGAGGCCCCGAGCTCAGAGGGTCAGATGGTTTTATAGAGGCTGCAGGGGGAGCCTAGCAAGCAGAACTACAGAAGTGGAATTTTTGTGGTTGGGGGATGGTTAGGGGAGTTTCCAGATGTTCTTTACTCAACTAGCAGGATGTTCTTTACACAGCAAGCATTGGTACAGTTCATGATTTCTTAACAGATAAACAAGTACATTCCAGGAACTCTGTGTCCTTTCAGTGGACCCAAAACTGATGGGGACAAGATGGAGGGTCTGTAACAAAATGGCATTGCTTGTTTTAAGTTTTATTTGGGTGCCACAACAGTAAAATACATACTGAATCAATTAAAGAGCATAGAAACTAAAAATGAACAAAAATACCAAATCTATCCTAATTAATTGAAAACGGATGAAAAGTTGCACTGTCTTCACAGCTAATGCATGGTTTCATTCTATTTCTTTTCATCAATGCCTAACTCAAAAATATTTCAAGAGTGTCTAGTGATTAGGAGTATTCAGTTTAATATGATGGGATATCTTATAAGCAAAAGAAGGGACTTTTTGCATTGAGGATTGGAACAGGATATAATTGTATGAGTTCTACTCCATGTAGAGATCTATGGGCACTTGACAGAAGTCATAACTTTTGCACTGACATTTAAGTTGCACTCATCTCATGTCTCCTGTTTCCCTTTTTGCTTAGACAGTATAACTGGTTACATAAGTGTAAGTGATTATATGTATTCACCACCAAGCATCATGACCTTTTACAGGAACCTGGTTTCTTTCATAAGAGAGCTGGAGTAGATTTGTAATTCAGTTAATAGTGTATTGATAAATAGATTTCTTCTAAAGTAAATTTTTTAAATTTTTTGTTACTTATTGGTCTCTCTTATTTCTTTCTTTTCTTTTTTTTTTTTTAAGTAAAATCATTCTTTAATCATTCAAAGATTAATTCTGGGCTTAAAAAAGCCTGTAAATCTTCAATATAATGTTTAACTGGGAAATGCTTACAGCAGCCTTATATGCATTATCTGAATAAATATTATCACAGTATTAAGGCAAAGTAAACAAATAGCTTAAGCATTTTATTTGTTTGCAACTAAGCTTGTTAACACTATATAATGAAAATGCACAAAGAATAATGTTGCAGTTTGGGGTTAGATTTAAGTCAAAGACATTCATTCATAAGGAATCTTCAAATGTAAATATTCCAGAAATTTCTCTAAGCCATTTGATCATAACATTTTGTCTCTGAGTATTACCTTAGTCTGAAAGGTATTAGCATACATTTGAATTTAACTGAGAATCTTTCAAAATAAGCTGTAATTAAAAAAACTATTCTATATTCAAACTAAAACAATTTTAATAGAACTTTTCTTTCCAGAAACAATAAAGGAAACAAGGCATTTTGTAAAATGTGGTCCTGAACAAGTCACAGTAAAAAATAAATGTATACTTAACTTCTACCTCCTCAAAACAGAGGCTACTTTCTGTTCCCCAGCCTGGAAACAAGGTGAAGAATAGCCTATAAGAAACTTCGGGCAAGGGGTTGCCAAAACAAAGCTTAAGTGGTTGAACATGGACATGTCAGGAAAGTGTTTGGGGGAACCTGACCAAAGAATCTGAATTCTACTTTAATAACTAATGCAAAGGTGAAGTGGCTCCTCCCAAGTAGCAGTGCTGCCAGGGCCTGGCCTAGTCCAGTGCTCACTTATGTTATGCTCTCGCTCTAGGGGAGATCTCTTCCCTTTAGAGGCTCAGTATCCAGGGACCTCTCTGTGTGAATGAGGTGAGTGCTGACTCCATGAGGTATTTTAAGGCTTGGAGTCAAAGTATTTTTCTAACAGGCTAGGCAGAGTCCATGTGTCAAGACCTATAACCAGTTTGTTCTAATTTCTCACCACACATTTGTAGATCTAGGATCACAGATCTTTGCTTTATCATCATAATCACACTTAATGTCCATCCTAACTTACGATTCATATTTTGCTCCTGGAAACAGTCCTTGTATTTAACAATAATACCTACACATAAAACAATCCACTGTTACAACTTGTATGGCCACAAAACATTAATGATCTTCTGTAGACCAAGCAAATGTTTTTAACCATAATTGTCATGCATCAATTCACAGCCAGATTCCCCAAGATCAAAAAAATTTGCACAATACAAATAATAACTTAAAATATACATACACACATATACACACACTCTCACACACACTTCTTACAGAACTGTGCTTGGGGAAACTCCATCTGTTGAGTGCCACTGAAGACATATTTTGCTAAACTGCTGCTCCAGATATTTTTGTTTGGAATATCTATCACAGTAGGGCAGAGCTGTTTATTAGATGAGCAGAAAAGAAAGATATGTTTGTGGCAACCAGACAGTTTTAAAGTCTTTCAAGTTGTATAAAATAGACCTGCAGAAACATTTAAGTGTTCTCAGGATGCAGCTTGGAGCTAAAATGTGATATCAAACCAGTTGCAAAAAGTGTACAGCAGTCATCTCTTGAGGTCAAACCTGGTACGCAGATATGCAAGAAAGCTTCAGGATACATAGCTTGTTAGCCTTGTCCCATATTGCCTCATAATTTGATCATGTGTGCATTTCACAAAAGATTCATACTGCTCTGCTAATTTGGTATTAAGGATTTGCTCATATTCCTCTTGAATTTTATCTTCATAGTCTTTTAAGAGCCTCTCACATATTATTCCAACTTGTTGAAGGGTAAAGCTGGGCTGCTCCTTCTTCATCCAGCAGGAATCTGGAGAACTAGGTGCCTTGAGTGCTGATGAGTGAGGCTGGCTTTCCGAAGTGCAAGCTTCACTCTGATTGAGAAAAACTTCTAAATGTCTCCACCTCTGATAACGACTGTATTCTTGCTTTATGTTCTGAAAAATTTGCTCTGGAGTTGGAGGGTGCCACTTGCTACTGGGCAGGGTGGGCTGGTGTAGAGTTGGCAGTGGGGTCTTTGTCTGAAGTGGCAGAGGTGGCTCAGCATCTGGGGGCCTGAGGCCCAGAGTGGGGCCAGGTAGAGGGGTGCAGTGCCGCTGTTTCAGGCAACTGGGGCTCAGCAGCACTGCCTCAAACTCCATGGGCTGCTTCAGCATTGCCCCGCATGCCATATTGCTGAGGGGCCAGAGACCAGGAGCCAATGTGGTGACAACTATGGTCCAAACTCTGACTCCTCAGTGGGGCTCACCTCTCTTGATTCTTGAATAATTTTATTTCTAATAATTTTATGGCATTAAATATATTGTAATATTTTATAATTAAATTCCAGTTATTAGCTATGTGCTTGATATAAAAAGTTTGAATAATATCCCTGAATCTTAGGCACCTAAGAATGATTAAGATAAGTCATTCTTCTATATATCTGAGGTGTATTTATGGTATTGGAAATATTCTATTTAAATTTATTGACATTAGTTGGGTTTTTAACTCCAAATTTCCACAGTGGTTCCTTTCTCAGGTAAACTTGGATGAAATGTGATTAAACCACAAGAAATATTCCTGTCCAATAGAACAAGAATTATACAAAACTAAACTTAAATAGTATTGAATTTGGCTTATAATTTTACTGACTGACATTTCTACTGAATCAATTGGTACTGAAAAAGCAACCAGGTATGCATCTGGCTATCTTACTGCACACTGGGGAAAGATTATGAGAGATCATTTAACACAAAATATTCCTAAGTACCATCCCATTCCAAAACACTGTCCAAGCCATTCCAGAAATGCCGAATGCAAAGGAGCAGAGCTGCCCCTAGTGCAGAGGAGGTGAACCTTCCTGGCCACTGTAACACTGCCCCAAGTGCTGAGGAGGTGAGACATGCAGGTGCCAGCAGCACACCTCCCCCCCACACCCTCAGAAATGAGAAGACCTGTAAACAAGTTTCAAAAACAGACTTCCAGATCACCTAAAGCAACCCAAAAAAGAAACAAGATGGAACAATCTGATACTCAACCTCCTGGACTCCCTGAATTGGAAACAAAACAGGATCTGGAAAAAATGAAATCAGAAATAATTTCTCAGATATCAGTAGAGATTGTGTCCATAGTGCAAGACATGATTAATAAATCTAGAGAGGACACCGATTAAAAAAATAGAGGAGCTGAGGAACATGATGGAATCCCAACATAGGAAACAAATGAAATGCTTAAAACAGATGCAAACAGATTTATAGGAGATTAAAAACTCCATTGAAAGTTTATGCAGCAGAATGAGCCAATGTGAGGGCAGAATTTCAGATATAGCAGATAAGATTGCAATTAGTGACCAGGAAAAGAAAAATTTCTTAAAAATAATAAGGGACCATTAGAAATCAATGCAGCAGCTGCTAGATGAAGCAAAGAAGAATAACATAAGACTGATTGGAGTCAATGAAGAAACAGAAGAGAGTACAGGTGACATAAAAAAACTGTTCATGGAAGTGATGGTAGAAAACTTCCCAAACAGGGGAAAAGAACTTGACATACAGATAAGTGAGGCATATAGGACTCCAACTACCCTTGATCAAAAAAATCAACACATTCAGAAATATACTGCTGTCATTAAGTATGACTTCAAGAAATGTACTGCTGTTATTAAGTATGACTTCAAGGATAAAGGAGAGAATTATTTATCTTGGGGTAAGGAGAAAAGAGAGGAAGACTTGTACTCTTATTCAAAGGTTAGTGTATTTCCCTCAATCTTTTTTTCCTGTAATTTCTACCACTTCATTTCAATATCTACATTATGACAAGAACTTAGCTCTTCTGTTGGGAGGGAGATTGCATTTTCAGAAATATTATGCCCACAACTTTAAAAGACCATGTTTTGATCTTTAGTGTAGTTCCAGTGTTAACACAAGATTTAATATGATGGGTAGCTTAACATATAAAAAATGGTTGTCTTTTAGGTGTTGCTGTAAAACACTTGCAATTTATCAGGATATTTGTAAACTTAAGAATGGTGCAAGGACACTAAAAACATTTGGCCAAGAATGTACACTATGGTTCAATTCACTTCTCAAATTATTCAGTTTTAGCAGGATTTGCCAGATGTTACAAAGTGCATCTTACAATAAATTAATCTTTATTATGCAGTCCTTCTAATAAAAAATACATAAAATTTTTCTCAAGATTTCAAATTTTTACAATATCAAGCTACTTTGTTCTTTTAGAGAAAAAGAAGCTTCCATGTGTAACAAAAATATGTATTTCTTTTTTTTTACTTCTTTTCTGCCCCTCCACATTCCTTGTTGCATTAATAATACTGAAATAACTTTTAGATATCCATATATTTTCCAGATTGTCAAAGATATTACAAGAAAAAATACAGGCCAATAATCTACATGAACAATTATAAAAAACTCTTCAATATTACCACTTCATATCTACTAATACCTATCAAGAATTTAAATTTGTGTTAAGATTAGACAATGATTTAGAGTAATTAGCATGAACAAAAGCATGAAAGTCTTATGATTATTATTAATAAAATTTAGCTATTCATAAAAAACACAACAAAACAGAACTTTTTACCTCATAAAAGATGACTAGCAACAATAAAGACAAAACAAAAATCATAACAGAGATAACAGGCTGAGAGATTTTCCTCCAAAATCAGATTTTTCTGAATGTGGGTTTGCATTGAAAACACATGTATTCAGCATTTTATCAGAATTTTCAGTCAGTGTACTATAAATAAGTAAAGAAACAAATAAATGGAATACTTATTCAAAATAGATAAGTAGGACATTGTGCAAAATTGACCAATGTAAACCCCCCCACAAAGAATGCAGTTTAGCTACTGTGATTAATAAACTAGCAAGTTTCCTAGAAGCAAATCAATGCATTTCCATATATAAAATACAATACAAAACATAAAATATAACAAAATAGTATGAAACATAGAACTACCTAAGAATAAAACCAGCAATACATTTTTTATTATGTTCTTTGTACTTTGCCTTATTTAAATGAGGGATACCATATGGTATTTAAGCTTGTGTTTTGATTTTTTCACTCAACATTATATTTTCTGGGTACATCCATTTTCCTAAAATGTCTTGAATTTATCCTTTTTAGCTGAGTAGTATTCCATTACAAATAGATATCACATTTTCTTTAATCATCTGTTGATGGATACACAGGCTGCTTTCAGGATTTAGCTACTATAAATTGTGCTGCCATTAACATTTATAAGTATGTATCACTGTGATATGCTGTCTTTAGCTTTTTGGGGAAGGCTGCTAGAAAGGGGATAGCCAATCTTATGACATTTCTGATTTTGGTTCTTTGAGAATCTCCATACTGATTTCCATAATGGTTGTACTAGTTTACATTACAACACTGTAGGAGGTTTCCTTTTTTTTTTTTAAACCACAACCACACCAGCATTTGTTATTCTTTGATTTCTTGATGATTGCCATTTTTTTGTAAAGATGGAATCTTAGTGTTGTTTTAATTTGCATTTCTTTAATGGCCAGAGATGTTAACAATTTTTTATTCATATATTTGTGGCCATTTGTATTTCTTCTTCTGTGAAGTGTTTGTTCATTTCACATTAGCATTTCTTGGGTTTTTAAAAATTTCCGATAGTATAATTTTTGTTTTTTAGTTCTTTATTCTAGATATTAGTCTTTTCTCTGAGGAGTAGCTGGAAAAATTTTTTCTATTTTGTAGGTTGTCTCTTCACTCTACTAATTGATTCCTTTGTTGTGCAGAAGCTTTTTAATTTGATGTAATCCCATGTGTTAATTCTTGCTATTATTTCTTGAGCAATTGGAGTTTTGTTTAGAAAGTTCTTGCCTACACCTGTGACTTCAAGTGTTTTACCTATTTGATCATCCAGTAGGGTCAATGCTCCTGTTTTAATGTTTAGATCCTTGATTCATTTTGATTTTTGTTTAATACATGGTGAGAGATAACAGTCCAGCTTCAATCTTCTGCAAACAGATATCCAGTTTCCCTAGCACTACTTATTGACTAGGCTCTCTATGATCCAATATATGGTTTTGACTCCTTTGTCAAACATCAAATAGCTGAATCCATTGGGATGCTTCTGTGTCCTGTTATGTTCCATTGAGCCACGTGTCTGTTTTTGTGCCAGTACCATGTTTTCATCTCATTTGAGTAAGGCCAAGTGCAAACAAAGAGCATAAGAAAGGACAGAAGGAAACAAGGGAATAGATTTCTTGGAAGTAAGAAAGGGTCCAGAAGACTGAGGGTGAGGGGAGAGGGGGAGGGGAAGGGAGGTAAGAAAAACTAAGATATGACATGTATGAGAACTTTTAATATTTCAATGAATATAAATATTATATGTCATAAGCATGAGCTATAAATAATAAGAATGAAAATGAAAATGGGGAATAGGGGATTTAGAGGTGGGGGGGAGGGTAAGGTCAGTAGGAAGGGGAAGGGGATTAAAAGAAAAGAAACAAGATGTATTATGTACATGTACCCACTCCCCAAGATGAATGTAAACTTCATTTACTGCAAACATGTGCTAATAAAATAAAAAAGAAACCTAACAAAAAATTCTATCTATTTATATATACAAATACAAATAATTGTGGAGAAAATTTTAAGGTCAATTCAAATAAGTGCAGGATTATGATATGTTTTGGAATCAGAAGGCCTAATATTATGATTTCTTACTTGTAAAGTTTCTGAATATGTCATGCAATTCTAATCAACACAATACCTTGGTAGTTTTTTTGGTGAAAATTAAAGAGGTTAATCTTCATTTCATATGGAATCAAAGAGATTAAAAATTAATCAAGAAAATTTCAGAGCAGAGTGATTTGGAAGGACTTATATCACCATAAATCACAATTTAGAAAAAATTGCATTATTTTAATAGAGTTTTAATTTCATTTTGCCTCTGTTTTGAGTTTATTGTTAACACCTTAGTTAAAATTTATCTTAGTAATTTCCTTTTTTTTTTTTTTTTTTTTTTTTTTGGAGCTTTGGCCTGATCAATGCAGCTCTGGGCAGCAAAGTCCCAAGGCCTCAAGCTTGCCACACCTTTATTCAGAACATCAGCAGAAACAAAAGTAGCAAATGACTCAGAAAGTAGAGCATGATCCTAGAACAGTGGGGAACTATGCAGATGAAGATTTGGTTTCTCCCACCA